TTGTATCCCTTCACCCCATGTGTATAGCCTAGGAATATGCACTTCCTCGCCCTCGGCTCCGACGCGCCATCACTCACACAAGCATAAGTAGGGCAACCGAACACTTTTAGTCCAGTGTAATCAGCATACTTACCCGTCCACATTTCCTTAGGAGTTTTCCAATTAATTGTTGGTGATGGTGATCTATTCACTAACCAACAAGCGGTATTCGCGGCTTCAGCCCAAAAATCTTCATTTAATCTAGCATTGGAGAGTAAAGAACGAGTTCTCTCCAATAAATTTATGTTCATCAGTTCTGCAACTCCATTCAACTGTGGTGAAATGGCAATAGTGCGATGTCTCACTATGCCTTCATCTATACAAAACCGGCTAAGCTCTTTTGAACAGAATTCTAACCCTTTATCAGTTCTCAGGCTCATGATCTTTCTTCCGATCTACTTTTCGATCATCACGTTCCATGACTTGAATTGACCAAGCACCTCACTCTTGTGCTTAAGAAGACAAATCCAGACTTTTCTCGAAACGTCATCAACAAAGGACAACACATACCTAGCACCTCCCTTTGACAGAACTTGAGAAGGTCCCCATAAGTCTGAGTGTATGCAGCCTAAAATCTCCAAGGTCTGATGAACTGTCATACTGAATTTCACTGTCCATTGACTATGCATGTCGCAGTGATCACATAAATTCAACTTCTCAATTCGATGTCCTCCTAGTAGACCCCTCTGACTCATAATAATTATCTCACTCCCACTCATGTGTCCAAGTCTCATATGCCACAATCATGTCATGTCCTCTCCTGAACCTCAGAGAATCTAGCAGATAAGCCAATCATTGTTTTTCCTAGGAGGAAATACAACCCGCAATCTATCTTCCCCTACATCATAGTAAGCACATCTCGAGAGACCTTTAAAACTCCACCTTCAACGGAAATTCGGTATCCGAACCTATCAAGAGCACTCAACGAGACAAGATTCTTTCGCAATTCCGGTACATGTCTTACACTTGTCAATGTTTGCATGACCCCATTGTGCATCTTAATTTGAACTGTTTTGATCCCTACTACTTCACAAGCAGCATTGTTTCCCATAAGCACCTTAACACCCTCCATGCATTGATAGGTAGTAAACCAATGTCTAAGTCACATAATAAGAACATCCAGAGTCAAAGCACCCAATCATCACCTGATGAACTCGTGGTGACTATTAACACATCATCGGCATCACTAGAACTATTATCCATTATGATAACAATATTACCATTGCCTACAGACTCTACCTTAACTCCTTTACCCTTGTGCTTCAGACAATCTCTCCTGTAGTGCCCCTACCTCATTGCAGTGATAATGTCGACGGTTCCGAACATTAGACCTCAATTTAGAGCGACTCTTCGATCTGCTCCCTCTGGAATCTTTGCGTTCATCTCGACCTCTAATAATCAAACTTGCGGCATATTTTGCGCTAAGTTATCTTCTTGTAACTTCTTTTGCCAATCCTTAGAAAATAAGGCGGATTTTACCTCTTCAAAAGTAATTGTAGTGCACCCCTATAGCAGTGAATCCATGAAGTGCTCAAAAGAATCCGGTAGAGATGCCAACAACATCATACCTTGTTTCTCATCAGGCAAGGCTTCATTGACGTTCTTCAAGTCCATCGTGAGTTTGCTCATCTAAGTGGGCTCTAATGGACATGCCTTCAACCATCCGAAACTGAAACATCATTTTCAACATATACATGTAATTATTCAAACCCTTCATCAGATAAAGTGCCTCAAGTTTTGCCCACAGCGTTGCGGCATCCTTCTCTTCGGCCACTTTAATTAATACCTCATTCATAAGATTCAACAGGATTATACTCTTTGCTCTCTCCATCATCTCTACCTTATCAGCGGCTTTCATTATAATTGGCAAATTATTTTCGCCATCCAATGCCTTGGCCAAACCTTGGGTTGTCAATAACACATGCATCTTGACTTTTCATAACTCAAAGTTATTCCTCCCGTTAAACTTCTTAATCTCAAATTTTGTTCCAGACGTAATTGCAATAATAGAATTTCCAGACAGTGATCAGACAAGCAAAAGCCCCAAATCAACTCTAGAAACCCTAATTTGGCTCTGATACCAATTGTTGCGAATGTAATGCGAAAAACGTTAACGGATCTTGCAAATTATATCAATGCGAAATCACCAGAGAAATAAAAGAAGAACAATAATGACACCATAGATTTACGTGGTTCAGTCTGAGTATTGGTACCTACGTCCACGGGGAGGGCCAGCGGCAAATAATTCACTATCAAATCGGAGAATTACAGAATTTCAATCGCTCACACGCTCGAGTGAGCGATTGAAATTCCACTTTTGTGCCCCTTTTGTGGATGTCAACAATTCCACTTTTGACCGGGACCCACCAAATATTCAAGTTCTCTTTCTTTTGTGGCTTTTAGACGTCCACTGTACGCCTTCTCAAGGACATTAGATAAAGTCAATCAACAGAGAAACAAACCTGCGATCAAAGCAAATATACTCTGTTGATACTTCATTATCTATATCCAACAAAACCACCCGCCCAACAAAATCCATACTTGAATTGGACTAATGGGCACATCGAATTTGAATAAATCAAGATTCTGCTCGAATTTCATACACGGATTAAAACTCGAGACACAAAATTGACAAACTCATTCCTAAAGTTCCCCGTGACTTTCCCATGCAGTCGCAACTTTCGCAACTTTGCTAATGCAATTCCAGTTCACCATTGCTGCTTCTCTTCCTTCTGATTCTGTACGGCAAATATTACAAATAATTGGCCTCATCTTTCTTTTAGAGTGCGGTCCACCATTGCAGAATGTTTGCCTTTATTTTCACGAAAGGGTCCCCCTGAAAAAAACAAATTATGGATATTTCGCAACAAAATCATGGCTTTTCCCTAACTTTCTAAAAAGTTGTGGGAGAAGCCATGCGAGATCAATGGGAACGTAGAAAAGAAGCCGCATGGGAGACTCCTCAGCGTTCAAGACACTTCCTTGTAGTGACATCGTCGACCATGAGTAAAAAGAGCAAGAAGACGACCTAAAGAGACTGAAGAAGAGGAAGAAGCCGTATCATGCTGCCATAGCGGGGCATAATGTGCGGAACTCTTCACATCATGGTCAATGGTTCTAGAAGTTGTGTGGTCTTTGAAAAGAAGGGGGTGGGAGTAAAAGAAAATTAAAAGATAAAGACTGAGAAGCTGTCTGGTGCGGTGCAACTATTGATGTTTGAATGAAATTTTGTCCTTGCTTCCACTTGAAATCATGCGTCTGGCCAATAACATCATATTGGATAGGTTCACCTCGCATTATTGATCATTGGTGAATGAAAATAGCTTTCATCATAAATTGCTTGTGAAAATTTCATAAACTTCTTCAAATCAATATGATGAGCAAAAGTTACTTTACTTATGGTAGAAGGGGGGAAAAAGAGTACATAGCACAAAAAACATATATAGTGCTATAGTAGGCCAACTAAGAGCGAAAGGCTTAACATGTTCTCATGCTCTAAAGCAGAATTAATGCTCCTAACATATTCCATGCAAAACCAATCATAAACAATCATTGTTTTTCTATAATTCCAACTGTCTCTGCTGTTATACACATTATATATGGCATAAGATACTAGCTGCATTCTAAGCTGCATTTTTTGTGATTATGTACCAATTGGAGTATCACGATATGCAGCCAAAAATATGAAAACAGAAATAGAGAGCCATTACAAGTTGATTCAATCTCTTATTGGGTATTATTTTAGTTCCAAGAGAATCCAATGCGCCAAATTCCCTAAGCTTCCAGCTGGGTTGAGTTTTCATCTGTTTCTAACAATTGATTAGGTAATTATAGTTATATCAATTGGATTATATACAATATTAGGAAAATGACAAAATATAGTCGTATGGATGTTTTGTACAATTTCCGTACTACGACATTTTTCGTAAATTTCAATACAGAAAAAAATTAAGATTAATTTGATTAGTAATGTTACACTTACAAATAACATTCATAAGTGATTAATAAATCTCGTGTATATTCAATTAACTTGGTGTATATATATGTCAATAGATTTATTGTGGATGAAGTAAGTTTTCTAATCATTCAAATAAGAATTCTAAGGGTCACGGATCATACAAATGCGCAAAGAATTCTAAGTGTCCATTTGTTTGAAGGAAAATTATTTCCGAAAAAATATTTTTCAATTTTTCAATTTTCGGATTGCAAAAAATTAATTGATTAACGTAAAACAACAAGCTTAGATGAGGGGAAAACGATTTCCCCATTTGGACCTAAACAACCAAACAAATGAAAACTAAAAATTTTCCTTAAAAATGAATTTTATAAAGGGTTAGTACCACGAAAAACCTCAATCTGGTACACCTGTAACAATTTTACCCCTAATTAATTTTTTGACCACCAAAAACCCCAAACTCGTACACATGTGACAAATTTACCCAAAACTTATTTTTTGACTAACAAAAACTTCAAACTGGTATATTTGTGACAAATTTACTCTCCGTTAAATTGGTTCAGTACCACGAAAAATCATAAATTGGTAAACTTGTAATAAACAGAGGAGTAAAACCCCAAATTGGTACATCCGTCAACTGTCACGTGTCATCAAACTCAGTAATTTGACGGTAAAATTTAACGGAAACCAACAGGGATTAAATTTGTCACAGGTGTACTAGTTTGGGGTTTTTTGTGATTAACAAATTAATTTGGGGTAAAATTATTACAAGTGTACAAATTTGAGATTTTTCGTAATATTAATTTTTTTATAAAATGTATTTTTTTTTGTCATCAAGTTTGCATTGAAGCAAAGTATCCTAAATTTTGTTTTCACATTACTCCTCTATCTTCGTGCCCAAGTAATGGACGTTGACTTGTTGTAGCGCTTTGTCGTTGACCTCCTGATAATAGACGAAGAAAATGGGATGAGCAAATGACAAGAAAAACCAAACCAAAAAGAGGAGAAGAAGAATGAAGAAAGCTATTGCGCTTGGGTGGTGAAGCCAGAGCCAAATCAAACGTGTGCATTTCAATTCGCTCTCATTGGATAAGAAGTTACGCCATGAACAACCTGTGGCGAAGGATTGGCAACAGGAAGAGCAGCAGTAAATCAACATCGGAGAAAAATGAGACCCTGAACAAGCCGCAAGAGCCTGAGCCGGAAAAAAATGCGACACAGAACAAGCCGCAAGAGCCTGAGCCAGAAAGAAAAGACCTGGTGTTGTTGGGGAACCCCGCGAAGAGGTTCGATCTTGAGGATCTTTTTAGGGCCAGTGTGGAGGTATTGGGGAAAGGGACGGTCGGGACGACTTACAAGGCACACCTGGACGATGGGACCACGGTGGTGGTCGTGAAGAGGCTCAACCATGTGGTCTTGTCGGCCGAGGATTTCGGGGACAAGGTCGTAGCTCTCGGAGTGATGGACCATAAGAACCTGCTCCCTCTGAGGGGTTATTACGACAGCAAAGACGTGAAGATCCTCTTGTACGATTACATGACCTTGGGAAGCTTGTCGGACCAGTTGCACGGATTCAGAGAGATTCTCCTGAGCTGGCAAGTCAGGCTTTCGATTGCCCTGGGAGCTGCCCGAGCCATCGAGCACCTGCACTCCCAGGCTAGTCACCATGGGAACATTAAGTCGTCCAACGTCCTCCTCACGCCGTCCTACGAGGCCCGGGTCTCCGATTACAGTCTCCCCCACCTCACAAGGCCTGCCTCCATGGCTGGGGCAGACCCGTCAAAGGCGGATGTGTATGACTTCGGGATGTTGCTTCTGGAGCTCTTGACTGGGAAGCCGCCCACCCAGACTCTCCTCAATGTGGAAGGTCAAAGTGTAGATCTTCCTACTTGGGTTGAGTCCGTTGTTTGCGAGAGCCGGCCTACTTGGGTTGAAGTATTCGATGTGGACCCCCAGGACATTGAAGTGGCGATGTTCGAGCTGTTGGGGTTGGCGACCCGTTGTGTAACCTCGAATTCACCTATGCGCCCTCGGATGTCTGAAGTACGGAGGATGATCGAGGAGTTGTGTGGCCCCGGGGAACAGTGGGATTTGGACTCACAGCCCGATGACGTCTATGAAGAGACCGAATATGCAGATTCTTGGCTTATTGGTAATACACAGGCCGAGAATGCACTTTCCTGGCCGATTGATAATGCACAGGTAGATAGGGGCTCACAGCTCAACCAATTCAGCGAAGTGAACGGTGATATGTATACTCGGTGAGTTGATTTAGAGACTGGCAGAAAAGCTTCGTTGCCTTAATACATCACCACTGCGTTTAGCAAAATAAGATCAATTTAATCTTTTCCACGTTTGCCATAGACAAGTTAATTACTGAGGAAGTCAATGTCAAACTAAAGAAGAGGAGCGGGAAGGAGTAATAGAAACATGCGAGTTTCGCATCTTTGATGCAATTAAGAACAGTAAGGAGTTTCAGGCCATTGGTTACTTGTATAGTAGGAAGAACTAGCGAGGGTAACTACCTACGAACAATCTTTCATGCAATAAGAGAAGGCTCCACCCAAAATAAATGAATCAATGACACAAAGCTTCCCCTAGCCCAAAGTTACGTGTAAAAATCCATAAAAAAATTTGTCAATCGTCTTGGATATATCGAACTGGGATGACTTCTTGATTTCCCTTCATAATGTGGGTGCTTCTCTGGCTCCTTTAAGATGCTTGACTTGAAGAAATTTGATTTAATCTTGGTGAACGATGTCCTTACCCAGTAGATACTTTTCGCAGGAAACCACCAGATGGGGTTATGGAAGTTTCTGAAAGAGTTTATGGTAAGTTTTTTAAATGTTCAATATTGGTCTCTTGATAATTTGAAAGTGCAACATTGGCAGGGTACCGTTTTCTACCTACTTTCTTTTGCTTTAGTGTTCTGGATTCATTGAGCTGGCATTAATTGCCTCTACTTTTGTATTCTACGATTTACCTTCTCTTGGGACAAAGGTACTTCAACAATGGGAGAATTAACAGGAAGCCTGTTTGGTTTGGCAACAAACAGTTTACGTTACTGATATGCTTCTGCTAAAGCATTGGTGGCATACTATTACCATAGTAATTTTGCAGAATCAATAGTTATTTTTTGGGAGGGTGTGAAATGGGGTTCTAGGGCCACAAAAATCAAGGATGGATTCCATAGACTAGTGTCACGGGCCGACTGTTCCTTGGCCGTGGAATAACCCGCGCAGCGCCTGCCGCGTCGACCGCGCTAGGCCAACCTTCGTCCACTAGCTGTTCCCAAGAGCAACATGGCGAATATCTTCTTCATATTGGATCGTACCACGCCCAGCTTGACTCGGGCGTCTAGTCCATCAAGCGAGGCACAGATTTCGTTTAGGTACGACAACTAGTTTCGGCTTGTCATGGCCTCATCAGGAGAGCGATATCACCTCCCGATTAGTTTGTATACGGGAGGCCAACCCCGCTTTCAGAACTCTTAAGGATATATTCTTTCTATCCTAGAACTCCTAACACCAACCGTCCTGATACCACTCTCGCAACCCAGTTGTATTCACCCTTTCTGCATCCTCACTCTTCACTAGATAACCCCAAGCACCACTCACAAGGCTCATGAGTACAAGAGAATCACGATCTGTGACATTCTCCCCCACTCAATTCCGCAATGCCCTTGTTGCGGGCTAGTCTGTTGCTTCCCTACGTCAATTCTCACCATCAATGCCGCTTCCTTTGGGACTTACATGAGTGGTGGACGCTCGCCCAACAAAACAACTTCTCTCCACTGGTTGCTTCGGCAGACCAATGGAGGTTTCTCTTTGTTGATAACGTGATAGTAGACCCATCTTGAGATTCGCCAGATCAATCCAGGAATGTTTTCCCTATTCAGTGAGGAATTAGTTCTTTTCCAGTGCCCCTGTTCATCCTAGGAGCAAGTCGAGAGCCGCACTTTGTCCGAGCATTCTTTTGGCCCCGGTGATTCACTCTCCGCCCTTGTAGGACCGCGTAGACCACAGGTTTTCTGCGACTGACTCACCTACTGGAGAGATCCTGCTCTAATACCACTTGTCACGGGCCGACTATTCCTTAGTCGCGGAATAACCCATGCGGCACCTGGTCGTCGATCACACCAGGCCAGCCTTTGTCCACTAGCTGTTCCCAAGAGCAACACGGCGAATATCTTCTTCGTATCGGATCGTACCACATCCAGCTTGGCTCATGCGTCTAGTCCATCAAGCGAGGCACAAATTTCGTTTAGGTGCGACAACTGGTTTCGGCTTGATGTGGCCTCATCAGGAGAGTGGCATTAGCTCCCGACCAGTTTGTGAACGGGAGGTCAATCCCGCCTTCAGAGCTCCTAAGGGTATATTCTTTCTATCCTAGAACTCCTAACACCAACCGTCCTGATACCACTTCCACGACCCAGTTGTATTTATTGGGATTTTGGCATCTAAATCCCATAGAATTGAATGAAAAATGTGTGGTTGAAAGTGTCCCACATTGAATAGAAGAGAGATGGGAGATGGGTTCAAATAGTTGAGCCTCACAAATGGGTTTGGGCCCCAAGGGATACTCCACTTTTGTGGAAGAGAGAGGACCTACGCCAAGCTAGGTCGGTCCCCCAGCGCGCGCGCCGCCGCCGTCCGTCCGGTTCGGTTTCGGGTCCACTCTCTATCGATTTTTATTTTTTCCGAACAGACACATTGTTTAGAAATTATTTATTTATTTATTTTTGGACAAACAAACATGTCTGTTCGTGAGGTTCGGTTCGCCCGAACGAAAATCGAAGCCCTTCGCTGCTGTTCACGAACCCTTGTAACTCTTCATTTTCGCCACTAAGATATGACAGAACAGTTAGTTCGAAAAGTGACTCTTCGTGGCATTTTATATATTCCCGCGAGACATTTTCTCGACGCACTCTAGACATTTTTCACTTCATCATTTTGTGCGATTGTTCTGCAAAATTGCGTTCGAATGAGTCCTCCGGATACGTACCGCTTCGGAGGAATGAGATCCGTTCTATCCTGGGAGATGATTGTCCAATATCTTCGGGTACTGATTGAGGGGCAAAATTCGTCTTAAGGACACGACGTTATTTCGTTGGGCTCGGATCAACATTTTACTTATTTGTTTGCACTGCTTTCAGGTTAGTTTCCTTGACTTTTGATTTCAATTTCTAGTATACGAACTTAGCCGACAACAATCTTAAGACGAATTTGCTTCGGTTCTGTTCGTATATTCTTATGCGTTGTTCATTGAGTTTTTCTATCGAATATCATATTGCCGTTTCTTTAATTCGAACTTTTGTAGAGTTCGTATGTTCCTTGTCATAGTCGTATAGAATACGATTATGTTTGTACATTCTGGTCACACATTCTGTTCGTTAACAAATTTTTCGTTTCTGTTCATATTAGAAATTTTCAATTCTGTTCGTGAACAAATTTTTCATTTCTGTTCGTATTGAAATTCTCAATTCTGTTCATGACCAATCGACTCTGTTCGTAGTCATATATTTCCGATTCTGTTCGTGAATATGTTCTGTGTTTATATTTCAGAAATGGCTTCGGCTTCGACTCCAGTTAATCCTATTTCGAATCACGGAGAAAAGCCAGAAAAGTTCAATGGTACGGATTTCAAAAGATGGCAACAAAAGATGTTCTATCTCACGACCTTGAACTTGGCTAGATTCCTCAATGAGGATGGTCCTAAATTGGACGTTGGAGGGACAAATAAAGAAAAGCTTGCTGCTGTGGATGCATGGAATCATTCTGACTTCCTGTGTCGCAATTATGTCCTCAACGGTCTGGACAATACTCTCTATAACGTATATAGTCCGCTAAAAACGGCTAAAGAGTTATGGGATAGTCTGGACAAGAAATACAAAATCGAAGATGCCGGATTGAAGAAATTCATTGTCGGTAAATTTCTGGACTTCAAGATGGTTGATTCAAAGACCGTCTTAAGTCAGGTTCAAGAGCTTCAAGTGATTATGCATGATATTCATGCTAAAGGAATGACTCTAAGTGAGACATTTCAAGTGGCTGCATTCATTGAAAAATTGCCACCATCCTGGAGAGATTTCAAAAATTATCTCAAACACAAGAGAAAGGAGTTGTCACTTGAAGACTTGATTGTTCGGTTGAGGATTGAGGAAGACAATAGGAATTCCGAGAAGAAAGTTGGCAGCAATCTGGCGGTCTCAAGGGCCAATGTTGTTGAAGAAGGATCAAAACCCAACAAGAAGAGGAAAATGCCTAGCAAGTCTGGAGAGGGATTCACCCAAGGCCTGAAGAAGTTCGTTGGCAAGTGCTTCAACTGTGGTAAGTCTGGACATCGAGCCAAAGACTGCAGAGCCAAGAAAAGACAGAAAACTCAGGCTAATGTGGTGGAAGAAATTTCCAATGGTGTTGATGATATCAATTTAACTGCTATGATATCCGAGTGTAATATGGTGGGAAACCCCAAGGAGTGGTGGATTGATACTGGAGCAACTCGTCATATCTATGCAAATAGATCGATGTTCTCGACCTACACAACTGTAGGGGGTGATGAAAAACTTTATATGGGTAATTCATCAACTTCTAAGGTTGAAGGTGTCGGAAAGATTGCTCTAAAGATGACATCTGGAAAGATTGTGACACTAAATAATGTTCTGCATGTGCCACATGTTCGTAAGAATTTAGTGTCTGGATCTCTCCTTAGCAAGAATGGCTTCAAGTTGGTGTTTGTGTCTGATAAGTTTGTACTCTCCAAGAATGAGATGTATGTAGGAAAGGGTTATCTTAGTGATGGTCTTTTCAAGTTGAATGTAATGACTGTTGTACCCAATGATGTTATGAATAAAGTTGTTTCTGCTTATGTGCTTGAGTCTCCTAATTTATGGCATGCTAGATTAGGACACGTTAACTATAAGTCGATAAAGAAATTAATGAATATGGGACTGTTGCCGAAATTTGATTGTTCAAGTGAGAAATGCCAAGTGTGTGTTGAATCTAAATTTTCTAAGCCTCCTTTTCATTCTGTAGACAATAGAGTCTCAGAACCTTTAGATTTGATATACACAGATATATGTGATATGAAATCAATACCGTCAAGAGGTGGTAATAAGTATTTTATCACATTTATAGATGACTGCTCGAGGTATTGTTATGTTTATTTGCTTAGTAGCAAAGATGAGGCTGTGAATGCTTTTAGAATTTATAAGTCCGAAGTTGAAACTCAGTTGAATAAGAAAGTTAAAATGATAAGAAGTGACAGAGGAGGTGAATATGAATTTCCTTTTGAGGAAATTTGTACTGAGTTTGGTATCGTTCACCAAATGACTCCTCCTTATACGCCGCAATCTAATGGAGTAGCGGAAAGGAAAAACCGGTCTTTAAAGGAAACAATGAATGCATTGTTGAATAGTTCCGGTTTACCACAGAATTTGTGGGGGGAAGCTGTTTTGACGGCGAATTTTATTTTAAATAGAGTACCCCACAGAAAGACACAACAAACTCCCTATGAGAAATGGAAAGGCAGAATGCCTAACTTGAATTATCTCAAAGTGTGGGGGTGTTTGGCTAAAGTTGCGGTTCCTAAGCCTAAAAAGGTTAAGATAGGACCAAAGACTGTTGACTGTGTCTTTATTGGATATGCACAGAATAGCAATGCATATCGTTTTCTTGTTCACAAGTCAGAGATCCCAGATATACATGTTAATACGATCATTGAATCAAGAGACGCTTCGTTCTTTGAAAATATATTTCCGTATAACATAGTATATGAGCCAATTGATAATAACAAGAGGCCTCGAGATACTATATCTAGAAGTGATCCAATGGAGGATGAACCTAGACGTAGTAAAAGACAAAGGACTTCCACGTCTTTTGGACCTGATTTCTTAATGTATCTGTTAGAGAATGAGCCTCGGACATTCAAAGAAGCTGTGACTTCGCCAGAAGCCCCGTTCTGGAAAGAAGCTATCAATAGTGAAGTTGAATCCATATTGTCAAACCATACATGGGAATTGGTTGACCTTCCTCCTGGTAATAAACCACTACAATGTAAGTGGATTTTCAAGAGGAAAATGAAAGCGGATGGTGCTATTGATAAATATAAGGCTAGGCTTGTAGTAAAATGATACAAGCAACGAGAAGGTCTTGATTATTTTGATACTTATTCACCTGTTACTAGAATTACATCTATAAGGATGCTAATTGCCATAGCAGCGGTGTATAAGCTTGAAATCCATCAAATGGATGTTAAGACGGCCTTCTTAAACGGGGATTTGGAAGAAGAAATATATTTGGAACAACCCGAAGGGTTCATTGTTTCAGGACAAGAGAAGAAAGTATGTCGGCTTATCAAGTCACTCTATGGATTGAAACAAGCACCGAAACAATGGCATGCTAAATTCGACCAAGTTATGTTGTCGAATGGTTTTAAGATTAACAGTGTGATAAATGTGTATATATTAAGAACACTCATAATGGTTTTGCCATTTTGTGCTTATATGTAGACGACATGCTTATAATGGGCAGCAATAGTGAGGTTGTTAATGCGACCAAACGCATGCTCACAAGTAAATTTGATATGAAAGATATGGGGGTTGCAGATGTTATTTTAGGAGTTAAAATCCATAAGACATCTGGAGGATTAGCTCTATCACAATCCCATTATATCGAGACGATTCTTGGAAAGTACAAGAATCTAGATATTGTACCAGTAAAGACTCCGATAGATGTTAATTTACATCTTTCAAAGAATACTGGTGAAAGTAAGGCTCAAAATGAGTATGCTAGTATACTAGGCAGTTTAATGTATGTCATGAACTGTACTAGGCCGGACATAGCTTGTGCAGTTAGCAAGCTAAGTCGATTTACAGTTAGTCCAAATGAAAATCATTGGAAAGCTATGAAACGTTTATTGGACTACTTAAAGCATACTCAAGATTATGCTTTGCATTACACAGAATATCCAGCGGTACTTGAAGGATATTGTGATACAAATTGGATAACCGGCACTAAAGACACAAAATCGACAAGTGGATATGTATTCACACTTGGGGGAGCGGCAGTGTCTTGGAAATCATCCAAACAAACTTGTATTGCTATATCCACTATGGAATCAGAATTTATTGCTTTGGATAAAGCCGGTGAAGAAGCAGAGTGGCTTCGAAATTTCTTGGAAGATATTCCTAATTGGCCTAAACCAGTGCTCGTTGTTTGTATACATTGTGATAGTTAAGCGGCAATAGGAAGGGCAAGGAATGTCACGTATAACGGTAAGTCTCGACACATACGTCGAAGACATGACACAATAAGACAACTTCTTTCTAGTGGAATTATCACCATTGACTATGTGAAGTCAAAAGATAATGTTGCGGATCCATTGACAAAAGGCCTAACTAGAGAGATGGTTGCGAAAACATCAAGGGGAATGGGTTTAAGGCCTATAAACAAGTCATCATAGCGGAAACCCTACCTAGTTGACTGGAGATCCCAAGATCTAGGTTCAAAGGGACAACTAAGTTATGAAGACAGTGTAGAGTACTGTCAAATTTTTTACTCATTCCCGGATGAAGACAGTACTAATATGTAAAGGTTAAGCAAAAGCTTTTAATGATTCTGACTTGAGTATGTGATATATTATATGTTCAGAAATCACCTATGTTAGTGTGAAGTGAGGGCCGCTTCTGTGAGAATTGAAAAGGCCGAATTCTCTAAAACACTCATGAGACCAGGCGGTGTTCATGGCCAAAACGAACACAGCAGTGAGAACCAATTTTGTTCGAGAAACAGTTGTGTGATTTCTATTGTCTAGGCTTACACCAAAGGTCGACAGTTCAAAGACATCAAGTCTACTGATTGACTGAGTAAGTCCGATAGATTTCACTAAGGAAAGTTCAAAGTCTCAGACTACTTATCCTGATGCAACATTTTCTCATGGAATAATCGCACTTTGCATCTCATGCATACACAAAGAGTCATGATATCATAACTTTTCATTCATGTGGGGGATTGTTGGGATTTTGGCATCTAAATCCCATAGAATTGAATGAAAAGTGTGTGGTTGAAAGTGTTCCACATTGAATAGAAGAGAGATGGGAGATGGGTTCAAATAGTTGAGCCTCACAAATGGGTTTGGGCCCCAAGGGGTACCCCACTTTTGTGGAAGAGAGAGGACCTACGCCAAGCTAGGTCGGTCCCCCCGCTCGCCGCCGTCCGTCCAGCCGGTTCGGTTCCGTTCCATTCCGGATCCACCCTCTATCGGTTTTTATTTTTTCCGAACAGATACATTGTTTAGAAATTATTTATTTATTTATTTTTGGACAAACAAACATGTCTGTTCGTGAGGTTCGGTTCGCCCGAACGAAAACCGAAGCCCTTCGCTGCTGTTCACGAACCCTTGTAACTCTTCATTTTCGCCACTAAGATATGACAGAACAGTTAGTTCGAAAAGTGACTCTTCGTGGCATTTTATATATTCCCGCGAGACATTTTCCCGACGCACTCTAGACATTTTTCACTTCATCATTTTGTGCGATTGTTCTGCAAAATTGCGTTCGAAGGAGTCCTCCGGATACGTACCGCTTCGGAGGAACGAGATCCGTTCTATCCTGGGAGACGATTGTCCAATATCCTCGGGTACTGATTGAGGGGCCAAATTCGTCTTAAGGACACGACGTTATTTCGTTGGGCTCGGATCAACATTTTACTTATTTGTTTGCACTGCTTTCAGGTTAGTTTCCTTGACATTTGATTTCAATTTCTAGTATACGAACTTAGCCGACAACAGTATTCACCCCTTCTGCATCCTCACTCTTCACTCGATAACCCCAAGCACCACTCACAAGGCTCAGGAGTACGAGAGAATCACGATCCATGACACTAGAATAAGAAACAGCCGGCTTCATGCAGAAGCAGAGTAATATCTGACTGGAGGTTACTGAGCTGAACTCATTGCCTCCTATCAAGAAACGCTGATTAGCAAGCCACCTTGCATAAGCATTACAGGCCTAATAAATTGTTTCATGTACCCTTGCAATCGCTTTTGATTAACTTTGTCTGCCAATTATTAGTCCACTTCTAGTATCACTCAGCGGAAACTCATGTACCAGGCAACGATTAAATTGTACCACAGGCCACAACTTCTGTGGCCGCTGGGAGTTACCTATTGAAAAGGAGAGCTCATTCAAAAAGTCAACACATGCATTACTTAACACTCCGGAGCTGGTGAAAAGTATTCTAACCAGGATTGCCGACTCCCACTTGACAGAATCTTTAACCTACATTGCTTGTGAATAATATTCTGGTTTGCAGTCAAAAGCAATGTTCAATGATGGAGAACACCTCTGTACAAGTTTAGAAATTCTACTGAGTCCTCTTAAAATGGGTTTAGGCGTAGGCGATTCTTGTCCTGATTCTTGATCAGAGTCTACAACAAACAATTTCATAATCCCTAAGCAAAATGTTCTTAGAAACCCCCTCCAATTGAATCTCTCTAGTCTCCTCTGTTTGTTTCCTCATACTAGATTCTACCACAGATTTGTCATTGTACATCATGTTCTCACTGAATGTAACATCATCAGTTCTTATCGTTTTCCTATTTTGTTCCTCCAAATATCGATAGCCAAAATAATCAGATTCATATCCAACGATAAACATTTTCTAACCTTTGCATCAAGCTTGTTTATACTTTCAAAATAAATGTGCACTTAACATAACCAAAATGTTTCGGATGCTACAGATTTAATTTCTTTCCAGTCCATTCGTTTTTTTTTTGGTAGTTTGAAATCAAGTGAAACTGAATGTCCAATGTTGATCAAGATGTTGCTTCGTTAACTACATCTGCTCAAAATCAATCCAAGCTTATTTCTCAGTGGGCCCACTTCACTTGGTTAAGAAGGCGCATGAACAATTCACCAAGACTTTTTAAGATACAAATGGATGCTGTTTGTCTTAAAAGGCTGGAAAGCCTAGAAGTAGAAAGAAATATTCTTCGATGGAGCTAATTAGCTACAAGCACTTTCTGTGATTGCTTCCTTGTTAATCTCAAAAGCTCTCGCGGGTGCTACTGTCTTGTCATAAATGCATATTTCACCATTCCCAAATGAACTTGCCGGTGAAAGGTCATAAGCATTCAATAGGTTTATCTGCAGAATGGTGCTTATCCTTCACCACTTCTCTGGAAATATCAATCACGCTGCATGGAAATGATTTGCAGTACATGGGTTTGGTACTTTACAAGAACCTTTCCTAGTCACTCTTTTCTGGAAGTTTATGAGCTTATTTCTTCGGTTTAGTTTCTAAACAACTTTTGACAGCGTAGCAAGTCATCATACACGATTTGGAAGCTATCTTGCATGAGTACTTCATTTTACTTCAAGAAGTAAATTCATTTCATAGTCTATCAAGTTTATACTGAGCCCAAAGGAAGGACACACTTGATGTTAGATGTCTTCTGTTAGCTTCATCTATATTTGTACGGAAATCTTATGCACATAATGATTTACATATGTGGATGTGGATGCAGTGTTTGAATACTGTCTTACCACGGATTGGTCCTTTTTCGGCCAAATTACCACAGACTGGTTGAAGAATGATGAATATGAGAATTACATGAGAGGCGTAGTTGCAAGACTCCAAGACCAATTTCCTGCTGCCCCTTTCATGGTGCTCAATTTTGGAGAGCAAGAAAACCAAAGCCAAATAGCTTAAGTATTGTTTGAATATGCTATACCCGTCGTGGAATTCCCTCAAAATTATGGAGATTGCCCTATACTGAGAGTGGAGATTATCCACAACTTCTTGAAATCTGCCAATGAATGGCTGTCATCTGATACAAAACAGAACATGCTGTTGATGCATTGTGAAAGGGGTGCATGGCCGGTTTTGGCGTTCATGTTGGCTTCTCTTTTGTTATATAGGAAGAAGCAGGATGGGGAGCAGAAAACACTTGACATGATTTACAAGAAAGCGCCGCGTCAACTCTTGCAGCTGACATCGACACTGGATCCGTTGCCTTCCCAGCTGAGATACCTCCACTATGTTTCCACACAGAATGCTGATTCAGATTGGCCTCCACCAGATCAGGCACTTGTGATAAAAAGTGTTATACTAAGTTTCATTCCTCATTTTGATGCTGAAGGGGGATGTCGTCCTATTGTTAAGATAATTGGACGGGACCCATTTGTGGTTGCTGATCAAAATCCCACAGTTCTGTTCTTGAGGCTTTGTAATTGAACTGCCAGTACAGTCCAAAACTCAGTCCACCTCAACTCTGCCGCCAATGCCACCTTCGCTGTCAGAAACTTCGATTCTTTCAGCTCTTGAGGCTTTTGGAAGTTTTGAACTAGCCACAAAATCACCCTACAATTCACCAAGTTTTGAGTTGGATCAACAATATGGCACCACAGTAGAAGGGAATGATCAGTCATTCTCACTGTTTGATCTCACAGGTTCATTATCTTCTTCCTCTGTACATTCCCAGGCATCCTTATTGGCTTCCCCTCCTCCACCTCCTCCTCCTCCACCACCACCGCCACCTCCTTCCCGATCAAAGGGGGCATCATCATTGAACAGTATTAAAAAAGTCCCGTTTGATCCCCTTCCTCAAGCTTCTTCTCCTCACTCACTTGTTTCAGGAACTCCTCCATCGTCCATTATGAATAATTCACCTCAAGCTTCTTCTATTCCTCCCCCTCCTTTTCCTTCTGTGGGTCAGGTGGAGCAAATGATGCCTTCTTTTGAAATGTCTTGAGATGCAATTACGACACAAAATATTGTTGAACCCCCAAGAATTCTAGCCCTCAAACAGAAACCGTCTTCATCTTTGGGAATGCCTCAAGTTGTCATCTCAGGTAATATGTTCGGAAAGGAATTTTTTTTTTTTTGCATGCTTCTAGTCACAGCGAAATGTTCGACACTCATTTTATATTGTTGACCAAAGAGTGTTATAAGTTTTTCCAACTTAAAACGTAGTCTGGCACAAGTACCTGAATTGAAATGAACAGCCTTTACTCATTTTTCCCAACTTATTCAATATTCATTTAGAGTTGAGTTTCACTATGTCCAGTCCAGCAACGGAGTCGATGAAAAACAGTGTGACCAATTGGTGAGACGCATTATAAAACACAAACGTGAAATAGACGGTCATCCCTCAGATGAATTATTGTTTTGGCTAATGTTACCATGTAATAATGCTCCTATACTACCACATTATTAACTTCTTGATTTTCCTTTAATTAGCTGAAAGTCTGGAAAATGTACTCATAAAAGAGCACTTTGGGCTCAAAATTTCACAAGTTGAAGCTACTATCTGTAGGAATAGGCTGCATATTAAGACAATTTATGACTTTTATGGAAAATCCTGTTTGAACAGAATATATTTCCGTCAACTTGCCTTGCGTGCTGCAATAGCTTGAATTTTCTTAATGGCCATTATTGCTTAAAATTTCTCATAAAACAGGTGAGAACACAGAATCTCTCAAGTGGAAAGAAGGACTAGCAGCTGTGACAGGGACAAACATGGAGGTAACTTCTGTCAGTGACTCGGCATCCTCATCCGCTGTCAATAGTGGCAGTGTAGAAGCTACTGCTGCAGCTGTCTCCAATTCAGTGCAAATCCCTAATGTGATGCTGCCGAAACAGGAAAAACTATACCTGCAGGATGGCTCACCATCATCAACCTCCATGTCATCTGGATATGACTACGATATTTTCCTGAGTTTTAGAGGGCTAGAAACTCGCTCAGGCATTACAGATTTCCTCTACACCAGCTTGTTAGCTGCTGGAATGCACACATTTAAAGATGACGAAGAGCTCCAAGTTGGAGAGGAGTTTGGTCCGAAGTTGCTTGAAGCTATCAGCCATTCAAAAATTGCAATTCCCATTTTTTCCAAGGGCTATGCCTTCAGTAAATGGTGTCTTAATGAGTTGCTCCAAATGGTGGAGTGTAGTAGAACAAGGAGACAGAAGGTTATGCCCATTTTCTATGATGTTACTCCAGCAGAGGTCCGTCATCAAGCTGGGTCTTATGGGGAAGCCTTTCTTTTGCATGAGAAGAAATTTGATGAGAACACTATCAGTAAGTGGAAAGCTGCTCTCAAACACGTTGCCAATCTAAATGGATGGGACACTAATTCGATGATCATTAGGTGTGTCAGTTTCTGGGTTGTAATTTTGGTGCAGTGTTTCTATAATATTTCATTCTTCTAATTTTGTTTACCTTTTTCCTTCCATGATATTAGACGTGAAGGAGAGCTGGTTAAGACAATTGTACGTACAGTTATAGATGAGTTGAAAACAGCTTATCTGATGGTGACCGGCTGCTTGGTTGGAGTTGAAAATCATGTGAAGGAAATCAATAAAATAATGTGTGGCGATTCAGAGGATATTAAAATACTCGGAATCCATGGTATGGGGGGTGTTGGACAGACTACTCTCGCCAAAATCATCTACAACCAGTTTTCACATCATTTTGAACATTGTTGCTTCCTTTCTAACATAAGGGAAACTTCAGAGCTAAAGGGCATCGAACATTTGCAGAATCAGCTAATGTCCAATGTTCTCAAAAGGAAGTGGTCAAGCATTAGCAACGTTGACGAAGGAATTAAGACAATAAAAGAAAGGTTAGGCGATAAAAAGGCTCTGGTGCTACTTGATGATGTTGACAGGAGGACTCATTTAAATGCACTCGTAGGAAACCCTGCATGGTTCGATTTAGGAAGTAGGATTATCATAACTAGTAGAAACAGGGATATCATGACTGTTCCTGAGGTTTGTTATGGTTATGAGCTTAAGGGCATGAACTTCAACCAATCTCTTCAACTATTTTGCAAACATGCTTTCGGAAGAAATTACCCTTTGGATGACCATGTTGCTTTCTCCACAGAAGTGGTCAAAAGTACAGGAGGTCTTCCTCTTGCTCTTGAGGCTATAGGTTCACATCTCTCAGGCAAAAGCAAAGACGTTTGGGATGTTACATTGAAGAAGTTGAAACAAGTTCCTCACGGTGAAGTAAAAAGAAAGTTGAAAATAAGTTATGATGCCTTGGATGATTGGCAAAAGCATATCTTTCTTGATATAGCTTGCCTTTTCACTGGATTTGACAAAAGGATAGTGCTCCACATGTGGAACGATTCCAATCTCTTCCCAGAGGAAGGTCTTGAAGTCCTTCAAAAGATGTCTTTGATAAAAATCGGTGAAGACAATAAGCTATGGGTGCATGATCAGCTAAGAGACCTTGGTAGAGATATCGTTCGTCAAGAGTGTAACATGGAACTAGAAAAACAGACTCGATTGTGGAATCATGAGGAAGCTTTGGACGTGCTGATGAAGAAGGTAAAGTTGCATTTCAATTACTTTATCCCCATCAAGCTGACAAATTTCATGCCTTTTCACTGTGATTGTGTGCTTAATAATAGTCAAGGGAAGTTATTTCTTATCCCATGATAGCTGTTATCACTTGTTAATTGGCTATACTAATGCTTAGTTTTTCTATACGGAAAGAAGATTATACTTGTTCAATATATTAATTTGGATAGATATCATGTGCTTGCCCTTTTGCTTTTTCTTTTGCAGAAAACAAAAAAAGTGGAAACTCTTTGCCTAAAGTTGGACCATCAGTTGCAATACTGCTTTGCAAACAAGGAGTTTGAAAGGTTATCTAATCTAAAATACCTTGAAGTGAGGGCTGTCCAGGATAACTGGCCTTCAAATGATTTTCCAGACAACTTACAAAACAGTACGCCAATGCTTTCAGAGTTGAGATGGCTTTCGTGGCATCATTTTCCCCTGGAACTTAAAATCACCAATTTCTCCATGATGAACATGGTCATTCTCGATCTGTCTTGGAGTAAACTGTCAGAAAGTTGGGATGGTTGGAGTCACATCAAGGTAAGATTCTTTTGGGTTGAAACTAAAATTATTTTTCGTAGCTGCCTCCTCTTTATTTGATCCATAGTTTCACATAATTTCGTTTCTGTTACAGATGGCAGAGAATTTAAAAGTCTTGAACTTGACTGGTTGTGTACACTTGCATACAACTCCCGATTTCTCCACAAATGTTAAGTTACAGCACTTAATCCTCGAGAACTGTGGAAGATTAGCTCAGATTGACAAATCTATCAGGCATTTGAAGCAGTTGGTAATTTTGAACTTGAGGTTTTGCCTTAAACTCCGCAAGTTACCAGAAGAGATGAATAACCTGGAATCATTAAAGGAACTTCTCCTTGACGGGACTTCTGTAAGAGAAATTCCAGAATGGAAAGGGATGAAAAAGCTGGAGACTCTCAGTGCTTGCGAATGTCCATCATTAAAAAATTGCAGATCAATTGGAAATTTGACATCTCTACTGACGCTATCTTTGGAGCATGCTTCAATTAGTCAAATCCCCCAAGAGATTGGAGTGCTCCAAAAGCTTGAACACTTGTCTCTAAGCAAGTGTAAGTTGCTGAGGGGACTTCCAGACTCGATTGGGAAATTGGAATCACTACTTACGTTGAACCTTTCCCACACGCATATTGCAGAGCTGCCTAACTCAGTTGGAAACTTGAAGAACTTGAAAGTACTAAGGATGTCTGGTAGTTCCATAAGAATTTTGCCTGGTATAATTGTGATGTTGGAGAAGCTGGAAGAGATAAATGCTGAGTTCTGTCAGCGTTTGGAGGGGGCAATTCCTCATGGTATCGAGAGCTTGTCAAATTTGAGGATCTTGAAACTAACAAACACTATAATATGTCAAGTGCCAAGACTTCCTGAAAGCCTGATTGGTCTGCATATTTCTACTCATTCAATGAAGACACTTCCAGATCTCTCAAACCTGGTAAATTTAATAGATTTGGATTTGGACATTGGAGAAGTTCCATTGGCCAGCAAGAATTCTGTTTTTGCAGGATCTTCTCAGCTCGTACAGCATCCATCACCATGGTATATAGGAAAGTTCTGCAATCTTGAGTCTTTGAAGTTGTCCGGTGAAATCATATTTGCCATCCATAGAGATATTTGTCTTCTTTCTCAGCTTAAGAAACTTGAACTTGTTTGTTCTAACCTGCAGTTCCTGCCTAGGCTTCCATCCAGTTTAACATGCTTGGTTATTAAATCATCCCAATCATTGGAAACGCTGATAGATCTATCGAACTTGAAGGAACTATCAGAGCTGAGGATTGATTCTTCGGCAATAATTGGTGTTCAAGGCCTTGAAGGTTTGGAGAATCTTGAAATTTTGGACCTCAAAGCACTGCATACACTTGAGGAATTACCTGATCTATCAAACTTGAAGAAGCTCGGTGAACTGCATTTGGGGCACTGCCATAATCTTATCGACGTTCAAAGCATTGAAGGCTTAGGAAATCTCAAAACTTTGAAGCTCATAGAAATTCCGCTACTGGAGAGATTACCCAATCTGTCAAACTTGAAGAATCTCACTGAACTTCAGTTGTGGTACTGTCATGGTCTAACTGAAATAGAAAGCTTGGAGGGTTCGGAGAATTTGATGATGTTGGAGCTAGGTGAACTTCCTCTACTTGAGAGACTGCCCAATTTATCAAACTTGAAGAAGCTTACAAAACTGGATGTACAACAGTGTCATAATCTTGTTAAGATTCGAGGAAGATTGGAGTCATTGGAAGACTTGCATTTAGAAGGATGTAGATCTTTAGATGAGGTGTTGGATCCGGCTTCGAGCTTCAAGAAACTAAAATCTTTGCGAATACATGATTGCGAGAAGTTGCATGTTGACAGGACGTGGGTCTCGAAATTCGAAATATCTAATAGGGCATATGAAAATTCGGCATGTTCGATACAATGTAAGGTGGGCATTTGTGTTTGTCAGCTAGGTAAACAGTTCTTTTTGCCGTCCCCTCCATAGTGAAAATAAACAGATACACGATGTACTCCCTTTGCTCAGATACTCTCTATGGCAGCAAATTAACTAGCAAAGCCGTTACAATCTGTGCGGAATTAGATTTTCTACAAATAAGTCAATTCATTTTGTCTAAACAGGAGTTGATCAGGCTGTCCTCCTGTCGTGAATTAATTGAAATTTTACCCAGTACAATAGATCAACATCAAAATCTCTCGTCAACATGTCAGTCCTCATTTGTGCGCCCTTGATATTGTTTACTTCTGAAAAGCTATCACACCTGAGAAAACGAGCAACGGGGAGAGAGGAGAGGAGGCGAGGGAGAAACGGCATGTGCACTGCAGGCATCATGTGGGATTATACTAATGATATTTTTGACATTCTAACTCCTTTAGGTATGGATGGAGCCAAAATGATAGTGAATTTAACGCCATCCTTTCAATAGTCATTGGCACTAGTTCCTTTTGGTAACAGGTAAGACTATATTTTAGCAACAAAAAAAAAAAGTATATACAATGCATAGTGGATTGAGCCGAGGCATGCTCAAGCGTGAGCTTTGCCCAGCGATTTGTTTTTTATGGACACTTTAACAAATCTCTAATTCTCCTTTGCAATATCTATGAATAAATAGATGACGGTTTTAAAATAATTGTTTATATATAAAAAGAAAAAATAAATTAAATGTTAATAACACTTTCATGCATCTAAGTTATCAAAAGAAAGAAATTAAACATTAAGAAAAAAGAAAAATAAAATGTTTAGCAAATGTTTTATATGTAGATCATTTCATATATTTCAGAGGATTTCTATGCATCTGTAACTCTTATCAAATTGTTATGTATATATAGATTCTATTTTGAAGTACCTAAATGAAAATAAGGATGAGTTATATTCCATTGTTGCGCATAATTTACAATTTGAACATTATAAAATTAATGATCAATTGCTCACTAACACGAATGTTTTATGGAAGAAAACAACCACTTTATAAGGTCTCTATGACATTATAGTGCATATTTCACCAACATATGACATTAAAGGATCATAAAAAACGTTATATAGCACGACACCCATATTTGATAAATAATTAGCAACTTACTTGTGAAATTGACCAATCTTACCTCAATGATGGATACATAATACAGATTGGTTTGATTCAAGTGAAATCATATCCATTATAATTGTATGTCTATGCATTGCTTGGCTAATAGAATAGATATCACAATGTTCACTTTACTTTATTCGATACATCAATTCAGATACACCACTTGTTCGTATATGAACTTATAATCTACTCAATCCTTGCCTCAATCCTAATAATGTTGAAATCGTTAGTTAGAAAATTTGTGAAGTCCAAAATACACACAGGTGAAGTCATATGTACCTTGGAAACTTTATAAGCCGATAAAGATTATTGATGAATAGAGGAGCGCAAGTGCTTTGGAGGCTTTGCTAATTGCATTGGCATTTGCTCTGCTATCAAAGTTCGACTCTGAGCTGTTGGTCAGGGGCTTCAATTAGCTTGCAATCTGAACTTCCTTAGAGTCATACTCGAGAAGGATTCTACTTCGGTTATGTCCTTAATATTTTGACAAGCGACTCCTCTGGGTCATCCACGGTGTCTTTGGTTAAGCAAATTCACTTGCAAGTTTCTTATAGAGAGGGGAATACTTGTGCTGATTGGATTGCAAACTATGCTGTTAGATCTCGAGAATGCGTGGCTTTTCATCATATTCCTCCATTCTAGTTCTTTGATTGGAGAATATTTCACTGGGCACCTTGATGCATTGTTCATGTACAGTTGCGCCTTACTAATGTAATGGTCTCTAAGCCCCCTTTTCTCAAAACTATGGAAATTACTTATGAAATGAGTTTTGTTGTAGATATGGGTTTTGATATGTACAATTCCATCGAAATTGACTGATGGGTTCTATCAGGAAATTTTCAAAGTGGAAACAGTTAAAAGTATGATAAAATGGTATAAATACATGGGGAATGTTCAGAATCCTTCCATGGAAAAGCTATGCGCATCACCAAAATCATGGGGCAATTGCCAAATCGTCAAATTTCCAATAACAATGTGGGGTTATTGCTTGTTTGACTCCTACTTATCATTGTTATAGATAACCCTTTAGAACTCTGTTATTGCCTATTTATATGTATATGTAACGTATTTCATATTCAAATGGAAGGGCAATACAAACAAGAAAAAAAGGAATAGTACTACAGTCAAATGGGAAAAATCAATTTTCGCAGCTATAGAAGACAGCATTATAAGAGTATGCTGACGATTAAAAACCTGAAACAAAAATGAAATAAAATGAAGGGAAACTTCCAAAAAGGGACCCGAAGTGGAATCATTTTCTCAAATAAGGATTCGAAGTGAACATTGTCTCAAATAAGGACATAAAGTAGCCAAATCGTCTCAAATAAGGGCCTAAAGTGGCCAAATCGTATCAAAAAAGGACCTTTGGCCGGCTAGTGACTATTCCGTCGCTGAAGCAAGGGTATTTTAGTCAAAAACATTATATATATACTTTCTTTTTCTTTTTTCTTTTTCTTTTTTTCTTCTTTCCTCCCAGTCTTCACTGCGCCGCTGGCCTCAAGCGAAGCCGCCTTTGCTAGCGTCGGGTGAGGGCCACCCCCGCCTAGGCTAGCGAGGGTCGCCTTTGCCGGCATCGGGCGAGGGTTGCCTCGCCTAGGCCGGGCGGGTGAGGGGGACCATTGCCAGATCCAACAAGGGCAACCCTCGCCCGCCCAACCCAGACGATGGCGACCCTCGCCAGATCCAGCGAGGGCGAGGGTGGCCATCGCAGGCGTCGGGCGAGGGTCACCTCGCCTAAGCTAGCCTCGCCCTCGCCAGCCCAGGCGAGGGCGGCCTTCGCTTGATGCCGGCGAGAGTGAGCCTCGCGAACCTAGGCGAGGGCGACCTCCGCCGGCCCCGGCGATAGTCGGCGAAAGGAAGAGAGGGAAAAAAATAAAGAAAAGGAAAAGGAAAAGGAAAAGAAAAAATAGAAAAAGGGAAAAAGAGAAAAAAAGAAGAAGTAAAAGACGACAATACCCTTTGGCCGGTGAGGTTAGGTCATTATTTGAGACTGATATGACCACTTTAGGCTCTTATTTGAGATAAGATTCACTTCAGGCTCTTATTTGAGAAAATGAGGACACTTCAGGCCCTTATTTGAGAAAATGACTCCACTTCGGATTCCTTTTTGGAATTTTCCCTAAAATGAAGGAGAAGAGATCAGTTGTGGTGGCGATAGACTCCTCCCTCGGCTTCGTCCTGCCTCTATGTGTGCGCTCTGGATCGTAGGGGTTGCTGAAGAAGCGATCAAGAAGGAATTGAGCCCGAGCCAATTAACCAATTGAAATGTTGAGGTGATGGGCTTAGGGGTAATGAAGTGTTAATGGACTGGGCTGAAGTGTGCGAATTAGAGTTAACACATAGGCTAAGGAAAATAAGTTTGGGTTCTTCTTTCTTTTATCTATTACTATTTTTTATTAGATCACGCTTTTTTCACTCCTAGTTTGGCTAAAATACTCCCCAACAAAGTGTTTGGACTATTTCACCCATTGTAGGTCCCACCTTTCAACATCTTAAACCTTCTCTCAGTGTCTTTTTTTGGTTTTTTTTTTTGTGGGTCCCACTTTCCTTCCTCTTCATCCCATCTTTCAGCATCTTTCTCTCTTTGATATTTTCTTGGTCTAATTAGTGGTTGTGTAGCATATGGAAGCCCTTCTCTATTCAAAACTAACCCAAATATAATACAGAGGAGGGATTCAACTAGATTTTGCACCGGCACCAATAGACTTTACTAGCTAATATGCGAAAATGCATTTGGTGTGCCCACTTGTTTTTATCAAGAACCGCAAATAAAATGGTAAAAAGTTTCAATAAACCTACTCAAATGAGAAGAAAATTGAAATTTATTGGATAAAAACCCTTCATCCTTTACTGAGTCCGAACCATAACTAGACTAATGTGAGCATCTTGAAATCATTCTACTAAATAGATTGCAAAAAAGAAAGAGGCCAATGGAAACCAATTCAGGAAAATTTTCGATGAAAAGAACACTCAAAATTCACTCAAAAAATCAAATGCATGCTCTATTCGTACAGAATCAAAGAAATCACTAGGTTCAACCGTTAGAAGTTAATGGGATGATAAACCTTTTTTCACTTGGTGAAAGCAAAACTCCTTAAGTTCAGAAAAGACCCGCTTTTCTCTTTCCACTCTTCCCCATTAAATTTCAAAGACTTCAACTAATAGAATCCCCGGAATGAGAGAAACTTAGCAATACCAAAAGGCCTCACTAAAGATCATCCTTAATCTTTAATCAGATTCAACAGTAAATGAGGAATGAATCAATACCTACTTTTCCCAGACATAAAAAAAAAAAAGATCAAAGAAGAAAAAGAAGAAAAAACACCTTCAAACTATATTAATCTGAACCCATCACTAGGAAAATTATCACATTACTCAACATTAACCAACACTTCGAATTTAATCAATTTATCTAGCACCCATCGTGAAAAACGACGCAAAAATCATCTCAAACATCAAAGAGATAGAGAGAAGGGTGAAGATAAATGAAAATGGGATCCGCAAAAAAAGATTCCAAGAAAAAAGGCACTAAGAGAATGCAGAGGATGCTGAAAGATGGGATCCACAATGGATAAAATGGTCACAATAGTTTATTGGGGAGTGTTTTAGCCAAATTAGGAGTGGAAAAAGTGAGGCCCTTTTTTTATTTTGTCTTTTAACTATTTTTACAATAATGTATGCTTGGCTTGTCGACAAGTGCCACATACTCTCCCACTAAAATCACTGACGTCTAGGTCACTGTTGGACCATATGACCAGCAATACTCCTCCTACTTGATATGTGGTTTGGTCCATTTCTATCCCCTCTATTGCCTTAAAAGTCTACCAGTAGCCACACCTTATTCGAGCATTCTTGCCCAAAGGCAATTCTTTGCCCTTGTCGGATGGCTATGAGCTTAGTCTTCTCATAAACCACATGTTCATTAGAGAGATCCTGCTTTGATACCATATATAACAACCCAACCCATTCCAATTGGGCCAAGCCAATAAAAGGAACACTATGAGTT